ACTTGGTGCCTAGTTGACGCTCTGCGTACTTTCGCTGTACCACTTGAGGAAGCAGTTATCGTAGCGTCTGGCCTGTGTCAGCGGGTTGCAGCAACAACACCAACAACGCGCACGCTCACTCTTTGACTTCGTTGCATTCCGGTGCTAGCGAGGCGGACATGTTGGTGAAAATACAGGTCGTGGTTGAGCAATGGCGCTGATCCGCATCACGGAGGCCGAGGGTCTGGTGAAGGTCGCGCGGCTATCGATAGGGAAAGCGCGCTAGCGAAGATCATTGAAGGTTTCTTTCTCTAAACACTTGCGACACGCGCTTCCTCTCCACACCAACCCTACCTACGACATCCAAGCGAGACGCCACCGTAGACCGCGTCATCGAACACCCCTCGGAGGATGAGCGCACACTAAACTCGCCATGGATTCCTTCAAGACGCTCCAGACAGAAATCGCGGCCGCCCTGAAGTCGACCACCAAGTCTGCCTCTCTCATAGGCGGCGCGGACATTCCCTTTCAACGATCGCTGAACCCGGACGCTGGCACGCAGCTCGACGCCCAGAATGCGCGCCTCCTTCATCTCGCGCAGCGGCTTCTCGAGAATGCTGCTGCGAGCTCGGACGCTGTAGGTCCCAAGCTGCCCGACGTCGAAGCCATAGACGCCAATTGGAGGGGGGTTGTTGATGTCATCGACAGCTTGCTTGAGAAGGCCGACACCAGTCTCGATGAGTACACGGGCGTTGTGAAGCGCTTGAGTCCCGCGACGGAGCAGGTAAGGAGCGCGCATACGGAAAGTGAGGCGCATCGTCTAACGCGTCCGCAGGCACCTGTGAAACCACGCCCCAACATTGCCGACAAGAAGATTATCGCGAAGCCGCAGCTCAAATTCGAGCATGCGCCTAGCAACAGCGAAACTGGCGGCTTCCGCCCGCTGGTCACGTCCAAGCCGCATGCGAAGATCCCGCTAGAAGAATGCTTGCAGACATTCAAGGACAGGCGAGGACGGGAACAATACCCCCACCCATACCAGACCGAGATCGAAACCTACAAGTATCCTTCGACCGTATACGAGCACTCCGAGCCGCAGCAATACCCTCCCTTCGAAACTACCACCGCAACCTTGGTCGATACTCCCGAAGCGTTAGCTACGATGCTCTCTGAGCTAAAGACTGCAAAGGAAATCGCCATTGATCTGGAACACCACGACAACCGCTCATACATCGGCATGGTCTCACTGATGCAGATAAGCACACGCGATAAGGACTGGATAGTCGACACTTTGAAGCCCTGGCGGCGGAAGCTCGAATGCCTGAACGAGGTGTTCGCAGATCCCAGCATCCTGAAGATTCTACACGGTGCATACATGGACATTGTCTGGCTTCAGCGAGACCTGGGACTATATGTCGTTGGTCTTTTTGACACCTACCATGCTGCTCGGGCCCTTGGTTACCCTGGTGCCAGTCTGGCATATCTACTCGAAAGGCACGTCCAGTTTACGGCCCAGAAACAGTACCAGCTCGCGGATTGGCGCGTGAGACCGCTCAGCAAGGAACTTTTCGAATACGCACGCGCTGATACCCACTTCCTCCTATACATATACGACAACATGCGCAACGAGCTAGTCGAGAAGTCCGACTTCTCTAACCCGGAGAAGAACAAGGTCCAAGATGTACTTCAAAAGTCGAAAGAGACGGCCTTGCAACGCTACGAACACCCTGTATACGATACCGAGATGGGCCTTGGAACTGCTGGTTGGTACAAGCTCGTCTCACGCACGCCTGTGCACTTTACCCCCCAACAGTTCTCTGTCTTCCGCGCCGTTCATAGATGGAGAGACGACCTCAGTCGGAAAGAAGATGAAAGCCCGCTTTTCATTATGCCCAACCACGCCGTATTCACCATAGCTCGTATGATACCTGCGGACAAGGTCGCGCTCTTCAACGCAATCCAACACGTATCGCATATCATTCGAGCGCATGCAGACGAGCTTGTAGCTGTCATTGCTAAGGCTAAAGAGGACGGTGTCAATGGACCGGAGCTGCACAACGTGCTCCAGACGATTGCCGACATGCAGAGGGCGGAAAGGGCCGAGTCAGACGCTGCGATCAAGGTAGCAGAGGTGACTGCAGCACCAGCTGTTGAGGCCTCTGTGCCTCAAAGTACTGTAGCAGTTCCAGCTACCCGAGCTTCCTCTTCAGAATTTTGGGGCGAACTTTGGAAAGCAAACCAGGCGCCACAACAGCCGGAAATACCAACCATCGACATCGGACTTGCTCTACCATTACCACCTCTCACCGCCCAAGTATTTGCTGATTCAAATGGAACGGCCCAAGCTACACCAAAAGCAGAGAAGCCACAGCACACCTTTGTGCCGAAAGAAGAGAGACCAGCCGAAGACCAACGAACCGACACGTTCGTTGTCAAGCATCTTGGTGGTCGCAAACGAAAGCGAGGAGACGCGGTAGAAGACCAGTCGACCACTGCCCCGGCCCTTGATCCCATGACCAACGACGAGATCATGCTAGACGCACCTGAAGAGACACTGGAAGCCATCCGCGTACGTGAGAAAGCCGCTAGGAAAGCGGCACGCAAACAAAAGAAGAAGGACGATGCTGCTGCCCATGCCGCAGGTCTCAACCACAGCGACGAGCCTGCCTTTGACTACGCGAACGCGAAATCAGTACTGCATGCCGAAGACGGAGATGGGAAGAAGAAGAAAAAGGACAAGAAAAAGAAGAACTCGAGCTTTGCGCCCTTCTCAGGTATGACGGATGCACCCAAGGGACTGCCGAGGGCGCAGAAAGAAGTCGCAGGACGTAGCAAAACCTTCAAGTCGTAGATGTGGAAGCTTGAACAGTCGAAGGGTAATGGAGTGCTTTGCATCTTTGCGTTCTTGTACATATACCTGCATCATGACACCAACCTATTTCTCCCGGTGTCATCAGAATTCAAAGAGATCTGCCCTATGGGGCCAATGCATTGCTACTTGATTAATGCTATGTTGACACTGTAATCGCTGTGAATGCTCTGCCGTTATCCGTGTTGTTGCCACGTAACGCCCTCTATGAATACGTTCCCGTCAACTATCCACATCAGGTCTAGCGATAACCTTTGCGTGTTGCTTCCGACTCATGCGCCTGTAACGAAACCGCACACAAGTTGCTGATGATCCAAAGCTATCCTCCTCCATCACTGATCACACAACCTGTCCATGCAAAGCCCGATAGAAAATACCGAAGTTACCGGTTCCATCCTTGCCACCATCCGGTCCCCGTACATTGTCCAGAACGGCAAACACAATCTTCTCGAACCATCCTCCCTGAAACTCCGGTTCGCGTAGGACCTCAAGAAAGCAACGGGCAACCTCCGCTGGTGGGTTGGAATACACGCCACAGCCCAACGCGCCCAGCACAAGCTTCGTGTGTCCATGTCGAGCAGCAACGCGCAATATGAGGCGGACGTTGTTCTTGGTATGAGCCCTCGCGCCGAGGTGCTTGAATGTAATACCATCGTCTGACAGAGGTGGTTGACGGAGGGCTGCAACGCTGATGACGGAAAGCGCAGGGAGATCCATGGGATGCGTGGACTCGAGCAGTTCATGGCCGTCGGACATGGCGTTACGGATGATGACCACGTTGGGTGAGTATATAGCGGCGAGAGCGGGGATTGGGTAGTATTGCTCTCCGTCTAGCGTGAGGTAGAGCGACGAACGGTAACAGAGACATTCTTCTTGAGCGAGAGCCCCTTTCTGCCAGCCGCCGCCGGGTGATCGCTCAGAGGCAAGGTTGAGTACGGCAACTGGACGTGCTCGCATGGGCTCAGTGACTTCTCCGGCTTGCTTCCCGACTTCGGAGTCTTGAAGTTTTCCAGGAGCGTCCTCTGTGGTGGCGTCCTGCATTGGTGCATCGATGTCGGACTTGGGAGCGATCGCAGGCTTGTCGTCATCCAAATCCACGTCCGTTTTCTTCATGCTACAATGCTGACGGACAGTATGATTGGGCTCAAGCTGTATTGCTGCATCAAACGAGTCCATGTTGAGTACTTCGATGATGCATGGTTTCTTGATGCCCGGGCACCGTTCTTTAGGGAGAGTAGATCCGTCTTGATGGTTTATGGTCTCGAGAGTGGCCCACTCGGCATCGAACTTGGACGGGACTTTCGATAGGATACTTGGGAGGACCGACTTGGTCTCGTCGGCGACTAGTTTGAGAGCCATGTTGCGTCGGCGATTAGGTGCGCGGTTGTGGTTAGACATGTTGTGCTTTGGACGATTGGTGTTGTGACGCTGGTAAGGTTCACCGGGACGAGTGTTTTCTGTTCGAGAGGGACCCGGTCGTGATGACCCCGGCTTCTTGAGGAAGCCGAGGATTGAGCTTTGTTCCATGATTTTTGGAAGGTGCAAGATGAGGGCATGAACCACCACCAGCGTTGTCTAACCAGAAAGCTGCCGCTATCCCAATGTACTTCCAGGTGAATGTCGTTTGCGGCACTACCCTTTTGGCGTGGAGTGCTGGGAACCGGATAGTGGACGCTTTGAATGATTAGAGGCTCTCACATTAACATCGTGAAGGCAAGGAGCAGATCTACACCAGAACTTGGACCGAGTAAGAGGGATGTTAGCAACGGACAGCGCAAGCAACTGGACCAGGCAGCAGCAGGCAAGGGAAGCGTAAACTGACTAGGCCTATTTTGGAGGGTAAACCAACATAGGAGATTACGGCCACGAAACGGACAAACCAAATACAGCGATAGAGGTGCACCTGCATACAACCATGGCAATGACAGCAAGAGTCGGACCGCAACGCACATGTGCGTCCAGTGGTGCGGGCCAGGGTGTCTCTCAGCCCTACAGCGGGCCAGTGCGTCTGCCCCACATTCGCGTAACCGGCGATCATGTGCGATTTGCTTGCTGTTGCTCTTCCACACAACAACAATACCTTTGTAGACTCGACCAACATCCTTTACCTGCAGTCCCCGATGTAATTCTGGCACCCTGGATCATCGGCGACATGCCTACGCAACTGGCGCACCCATCCCCGAAGCGCAAGCGCGATCAACCCCCGCCTGTCCCTCTGCTCAACACGGCCCTCGCCCTGCGTCCCGCATCCGCACCGCCACGAGGCAGCCCCGCGCCCTCATCAGGTCCTGATAGCCCACGAAATGTAGTCGCAGATCAGCTGCGAGGTATGAACCTCGCTGCACTCGCGGCAATACCCATGTCCCCGCTCACGCCAACCGACGATGTGATACGCAAGAAGCCGAAGCTCGATGCCATGAGGGTAGACAGCGGAACTGCATCAGATACATATACCATCCGCGAGAGTTTCAGCAGCTATACAAACGGGGAAGACTTGGATACTGTCGCTGTGACGACTGAGCTGGACCTCTCTCGGGTGATACCAGAGACCCCTCAGGCGTCGCAACCCCGCTTGTTGCCAGATATCGCTTCTTTTGCCCAACACACCAGCTTCGTCTCATCGCCTATACCCACGACCCTGCAGTCGCATGCAGCTGCAAAGCAGAAGTCGCGCGCGCAAAGCCCCTCTTCTTCGCAACCCCGCCCTCGGGCTAGATCGCCGTCGCCCTCAATGTCAGCTCTCACGTGGCGAGATAGCGAGATCACGGGACACTTGGTCGATCCTTCGACTGACCCAGATGATGACGGTACTGGACTCAACGGGATCGGCTTCAAGCCTACACCAGCATTAGCATATGCGAGGTCGCAGAAGCGGCGACAACAGTTGACCGAATGGAAACTACGTGAGACTCGCGAGGCGAGAGCGAAACGTAGTGAGAGACGGCGGAGGGGTGTGCGAGACACGCCTTCGCGGGAAGTGACAGTTGAACGGGAAGTCATGCCTGTCAACAAGATCGAGACGACGAAGCGGACGGTCAAGTTTGCTGTATGAACTGTCGAGGAGAAGTAATCGTAATTCCGGAGAAGTGTAATAAGGTGGGTAAGCCCAAACATGGATAATGACCATCTCACGATACTTATGATACGAGCCATGGGCAAGTACACGTTGGATTAGCGGCACGTTTGGAGTACGGCGTAACAGGAAATTCTTTCGGTTCACTATGCGTTTAGCATCATCTGTCGGGCGTTTTGTTTACTCATAGCGTTATGAAATCTACTCTCGATTACCTCTTAACGTTTTGCTCAGTGAATTGGCCGCAACATGACTATCGGGCCATGCCACCCATGGAACAGCGACTATACTGAGCATCTGATATCACTAGAATTTTGATCAACCACTTTAAAGAACTTCTTTCTGACTAATCTATGAGTCATTCATTCATACAGAAACATATGAATGATCAAATGATCATTGTGTGACTATCGGGCACAGCGCGGCCTTAAAGATCGACCTCGGGAGTGTATCGAGCTCAAGCACGTGTCAACGCGAACCCCTGCGCGTCGTCCGGTTCTCATCTGTCGCATTTATTGAATAGGACTGAATATACAAATTCGCGACGGACAATCACATGTGAACAATCCCTTACCCACATCGTCCTGTTGCACAAGTACGATGTTCTATTCAGATGCTTATTCGTAGCTGCCGCTGGCTGATCCATGCCGCGTCACCATCATCACCGTTGCCGCGCCCTTCCATACCAACCTTTGTCCTTCGCACCACCATGACCTGCGATATCTCTTGAGCCTGACGACGCTTCTTCATTCCTCACACTTCATCCAGAACATACATATAAGCGGCACGGCCTTTTTGAACGAGTAAACATGATGACGCGGTGGCTGCGCCTTGCCTCGGTGCTACCTTCTGCACTTGCTCTCACACCCAGTGATCCGGCTCACCACGTAAAGCAGGTAGCAATCATAGGTGAGTTCATGTCCCCAGAAGATCTATCACAAATGCTGACTCCAAGAAGGTGCAGGTGCAGGTGGCTCATCCGCTGCGTACCATCTCGCGCAATACGCCGCCGAAGCAGGCATCCCTACAAACATCACCGTCTTCGAACGCAACGACTACGTCGGCGGCCGCACAACGACTGTGAACCCATGGAACGATCCGACGATATCCGTAGAGCTGGGTGGCAGCATTTTTGTACAGAGCAATCGAATAATGGTGAAAGCCAAGGAGGAGTTCAACCTATCTACTGCTGGAGCACGAGATCTCGCAGCGCAAATGGAAATGCCTGATTTGGGCATCTGGAATGGACAAGAATTCGTTGTAGTGACGAAAGCAGGTGATACTTGGTGGGACAAGGCGAAGCTGCTGTGGAGATATGGCGCTGCGCCGCTTTGGACCAATAGGCTGATGAAGAGTGCCGTGGGCAAATTCTTCGAGATGTATGATGAGCCGATATTCCCATGGAAGAGCTTGAGTGACGCCGTCGAGCGTGTGGGATTGTTGGAAGCCACTGGAGTGACAGGAGAACAGTACCTCAGGACAAATGGTATCGGGGAGGCGTTCTCCAAAGAGATCATCCAGGCCAGCACTCGGGTCAACTACGCCTCGAACTTGCCTTATATTCACGGATTGGAGACAATGGTTTGCATGGCAACAAATGGAGCAATGCAGATTGAAGGAGGCAACTGGCAGATCTTTGCGCATATGCTGAAAACCTCTCGCACCAATGTCCACCTCAACACTTCTGTCGCCCAGATCTCGAAGCAGCACGATGGCAGCTATGAAGTTACCACAAGTACCGGCCACACATCGGTCTTCGACGATGTAATCCTCGCATCCCCTCTTCAGTATTCGGACCTTGTTATCCAACCTGCGCCACAGCACATTCCCGATGAGATCCCCTATGCGAAACTGTACACTACACTATTCGCGTCGCCCTTCCGATTGGACCAAGAAGCTTTCAACCTTGGGCCTGAGACACCCGTACCGCAATACGTTCTTACCACGCTACCTTCATCTGAGGTCCCGGTGGATGGTGTCGGGTCGCCCAATTTCTTCAGCATATCTATATCCGATGCCGGTATCAACCCGGGATCTTCCCCGCTTCGATTGGAATACATCTACAAGATCTTCTCACCCGCCCGTGTGAACGCCACCTTCCTCTCGCGCGTCCTTGGCCAACATGTCTCGAACGAGGAAGCCGAACACGGTGACATAAATGGCACGGTGAGCTGGATACACCACAAACTGTGGTACTCATACCCACGCGAATACCCACGCGTAACATTTGAGGAGATTAAGCTAGATGACGGACTGTGGTATACCAGCGGAATCGAGAGCTTTATCAGCACCATGGAGACGAGTGCATTGAGCGGGAAAAACGTTGCTAGACTGATCAGGGATGAGTGGGTTGCCCAGGGCGTTGATGACAGTTATGCGAACGCTCGGAAAGATGGCACCGACGAAGAGCTGTATCAACAGGAGCTATGAGGTTTGCGTCTTCCGAACACTATGGCAAGCCACGTTGTTTGAACTTTAAAAGACTTGCATGAACATTGCTACGCGAGTCTGCCCCCATTACTGATTAAGCGGTCACTTCGGCGAGGTAGCAGCACAGACGCTACGCTTCAGGCTTGTTGGTATTCGGAAGAGCGGCATTAGTCGCTTGCTCTGGATTTGGCGAAGCTACTCTTCAGTCTAGCCACGTTTGACATCCTTCGGGGGATTCTTCGACACTGATTTACGATGGCACGATCATTCCAGTCCAATCGGCTTGGATACCGTTGTGGAACATCTGGGACGCTAGGGAATTCGAGATCTCGAAGCTACGTCAACCACGTGAGATTAGCGAGGACCCGCCGTCTTGTTTAGCCCGGCGTGGAGTACTGGCCCTGGGTAAATGGTTTTCGAGGATTCCTCCCTTGACATGCACGTCTGATTGCTCTAATCGATATCTCGCGAATTATTAGATGTAATTCGCGTTAATTCACTCTTCCCCTTCATCATGTTCATCAGCTTATTAAGATAGCAGCGACTCATGCTATCAGACTTGTATTATGCTCGGATGTAAATGAGTCAAGGAAGCTAAGACTTCACCCGCAGTCTGACTTTCTGGCCTACGAGTGGCGTTGGCGTCAGGCCCTCTGTTCTACCCCTAGGTCCTATGAAGCGAACGGCGATCCCCCGGACGTGCTTCCGTCGCAGTCATCAAACTTCCCTACCCAGCACTGACCGTTGTGCATACGAAGTACGGCAGTCCTTTGGTCCCAACAGGATCAGAGGCCTGGCTAGCCAGGACTATGGGTACAAGGTTCGATGGCGCACTTTCCAGCCCCGACGTACTTGGGTGCGGATTCTGCGGTAAAGGGTCAATTGCACATGGGATTTCCTACTTCTCGCTGTTGTACCCAGAGCCGGGTTTGTGAGGTTGATCGTGGCCATTCTTTCTCATTTCATCATCCGTAATATCCTACTTTCTTCTTTCTCGCTTCCGTCATATCTGGTCACTTGGACGCGCAACAACCTTTTCTGGTGAGGCTGAAGATACGACACGATACCGAGACCATGGCAGGTCACGTCCTTGCCAACGCGCTGGTGCCGCGAGTGGGACAGATTATCAGTGTCATGCTGGAGATCATTACTTTCGGTGCACTCACTGTTTGTATAAGTAGGTTTTCAACTTCTAGTGTTAGTGCTACTTCAAACGAATGAGAATGCTAACAAGATGTGACAGTGCGACGAACTCAGTCCATCACGAAGTGGATGGCGCTGCCTTTGGCCACGATATGTATGTGCAACACAACGCACGCTCTCGGGGCATTCAATGCGCATCATCCTAACGGAATGAATCAGTAATCATCATCATATATTGCGACTCGGCGTTGTTTGTTTTTGCCACAGCAATTATGCTCCACGGGTTTGGCATCAATTTCTCGCCGCAGGTCTGCGAAGGTGGGGTCTTCTTGTGTAAGTCTACGACACCAGATTGCGTGAACCGGAAACTGATTCTTGCACAGGTTTGCTATGTTACATGACGACGAAGATCCTGACATACTACTTCCTTGTTGAGAAAGCTGTGAGTACAAGGCTCTTCTTTCTTCTCCTGTTCGAGTAGTCACTGATTGGATTTAGTATGTCGTTCGGGGGAGTAAAAAGCCTCGCTTGAAGACTAAGCTGTGGCTTTTTAACTGCCTATTCATGCTGCGTACGTTGCGACCAACCGCTCCAGAGAACCCGCGCTGATAATGCTAAAGTGCCGTATACCGTCTTGGTTGTCTTAAATTTCGTCTAGTAAGTCGCAAATTCCACCCTTGTATCGAAAAAGAAGATCGAGTACTGACGCATCGTAGCCGAATAAGCTACATCGATGACTCGGGCGTATGCATTATTGGTATGCAGAGGATTGCCATGCTACCCTTGATCATTTTCGAGGTCGTTGTGAACGTACGTCTCCCATTATCCTACTCTGGTTCCTTCCGACACAGATGAAACTGACCGAACTCTAGATTTGCCTGACTGCTCTCTTCGTCATTCCCCTCCGCAGTCTCTATTCGTATCAAAACAACACAAACCCCACACTCCGTCGGATAGCCAAGCGCTCGCTCATGGGCTCCCTCGCCACCCTCACCACCTCCGTCGTCAACCTGACCGTCCTCATGATACTGCAAGGTGAACCAGCCTGGGTCTGCTTCATCTGCTGCAACGCCGATATTCTGTTCTGTTCGCTGGTCCTACATTGGGTCACATCCAAAGACAAGACGATGATGACTACCGACGCAACGAGCGGTACGGGAGGCGAAAACATCGGCTCAAGACACGGCACAACATCACACCAAAGACGGCAAAGCAAGTTGATGTACGGAGACAACACAGAAGAAAAGCTGCGCAGTGAAATCATCACCATCAAGGGCATGGCCGACGTGTCGCCGACCGGCGGCAACAGCAACAGCATCAGCAGCAGCAGAACCAACAGCGGCGCAAACTCCCGACGACCCAGCCTCAACGTTTTCCCTTGCTCGATCAACACACACAATCCACAT